GAAGTTAACAGCTCATATCCGTGTCACCGCAGTGTCTCCGATCTGTTTTCACAGTGTGATATACACAGAGATTGACCATGATGAGGTAAGTGCTATCATTCTGCCTACACACTTTAAAAAAAAGGGACTAACCCTAACTTTAGGGACCTGCGTGAAGTTGGTTCATAAGGGTGATTTATTATTTTATTTTTTGTAATTTTAGTCTGTATCTATTACATAATGTGAAATAAGGTTATAAAATAATGGTATATAATTTGACCTTAAGTACCACTTTTGTAGTATTACCTAGTTTTTATGTTTTTAAATGTGTTAACTTTTAACTTTAATTTTTTCTATATCAAAGTTTCAATACACTATTTTCTGAGAATATCTATCTATTGTTTTACTTGTAATCCATTTCATTCATGCTTCTGACTCAGTTATTTCTTTCTCTACTAGTTCAACACAGGACACAATTTTAAAAACCAGACTTATTCAGCTGGAATCCCATTTTACTTGGGCTCTGAATAAAAATGATATAGATGTCACCGATCTTCTGAACAGACTCGAAGAACAGCTTAACCTGGATCTTGGAAGGGAGGCAGGAGTTGCGCGCACACACAGCTGTGTGGGATATGTGAAGTTTCTACTAGGCTCCAATACTGAGGCTCTCAGCAACTTGGAGAGATCTGTAGAGCTCACCAAGTCTCATGGAAATGACTGTGACAAGCTGCTTGTTGTTGCCTATGGAGACCTTGCATGGTTATACTATCATATGGGTAATCTTGCAGAGTGTGCAAGCTATCTGAATAAACTGAGCGAAATTAAAGAGAAATATCCATCTGTCCCATATGCCGAGGTGCTTGGAGAAAAAGGATGGACCTTCCTCAAGTTTTCTCGGAAATATTATGAAAGGGCTAAAGAGTGCTTCAGGAAGGCCCTGGAGCTGGACCCAGAGGAGGGTGAATGGAATACTGGCTTTGCCATTGCTCTGTATCGGGCAGATGATATGCTTGAAGATCCAGTGGTAATTGATCAACTTAGACGGGCCATAGCCACTAACCCAGATGATGATGTTCTTAAAGTTCTGCTTGGTCTGAGATTGGCAGCTCACAAGAAGTATAGTGAGGCAGAGAGCTTGGTGGAGCAAGCCTTAGAGAGGTCTCCAGAACACCCCCATGTGATGCGATATGTTGGGAAGTATTTCCGGAATGAAGGATCTGTGGACAGGTCCATTGCCCTTCTAAAGAGAGCATTAGAGAAAGTGTCCAATGCAGCCTTTATACACCATCAGCTGGGACTCTGCTATAGGAAAAGGATCCTGAATCTGAAGCAAGCAGGAAGCCACCACACAAAAGGTGCTGAAATTAAGCGGAGCGCGGAGCAGTGTATCTACCATTTGGAGATGGCAACTGAACTGAAGACCAGTTTCATCATGGCTATGAATGAACTGGCCCTCCAGTATGGGGCGAAGCAGGATATGCTGAAAGCAGAAGAAATGTTCCAGAATTCATTTCAGGTAGCTAGAGAAAAAATGAGCACATAGAGTCTGTTCATCGCTGTTATGCAGAATTCCAGCAGTGCTGTATGAAATGTGAGCCTGCTGCCATCAAACTCTACACTGAATGTCTGAAGATAAATCCAAATGCATATAATGGGAGGAAAAGTGCTAAAGTCTGCAAAAGATTGCAGAGAGAAGAATTGAGAAGAACCCAAGCGATGGAGAGGCCTTCGGAATACTTGGAATCATTCATAAGGAAAAAGGAGAAAAACAACAAGCCATAGAGTGCTTTGAACAAGCGCTGAGCTTTGCAGACAACGAGGATTACCTCACAGATCTTTGTGAACTTAGGCTTTCATTACAGTAATATTACCAATATGCAGTATGATACACAGCCAATTATTTACACATTCATGATATTTAATGGTAACAGTGTAGTATCTGTAATAATATATGTACTGTTGATAAGACACTAAGATTAATCTTAGTAATGGTTTGAATTTAAGATCATTAGTTCAGTATGATATTTAATCATAAGTATATTTCTTTTCATTATGATGGATTTAAATTTAGGCTGTTCTCCAGTTTTTTCTCTCAAATTTTTTAATTATATATATATAAAATCATTGTTTTTTTTTTTAAGATCTTAAATGATCAAACTTTTCCTAGTTCAGATTAATTGCTTAAAATACAATATGTGGAGAGAGGAAAAGTGAAGGAGTACAATGGATTTTATACAGATTTTCATTAAAACCCTCAGGTAAAGCCACCCACCCACACACACACAAACAGGGGGTATTGAAAGGTTGGAGGCAGGTAACATGTTTACTATAAAACCGAGAGATGATATGTTGCTGTAATAAAACCAAATGACCAGTTGTCCTTATTGTCCTTTGATTTTGTCTCACATTATTTGCACTTAACAGTGTACATTTCACTAACACTAACCCTTAGTTGTGGAACAAGTAAATAACACTCTCAGTGGTCCTCCAAGAAAGAAACAGAGAAGTTAAGTACAATCAGTGATGCACATCAGAAGTGTCAATGTAAATGAAATGTGAAGTGCAGGCTTACTCGCGAACACATACACACGTCCAATTTATTTTCTCTCAGAAATAAGGATGTGTATAAAAGCCTCACTTGGCAGCGGTGGGAATCGAAACCACGCCCCCGAAGAGACTGGAGCCTTAATCTAGCACCATAGACCGCTCGGCCACACTAGCATGTAAACGAGCAAGACCGGTTATGCCTTAAAATACTATCTTAATATATACTGTTAAAATATTAAACTCTACATAAAAACACTTGTTGGAAGCTGGACTTGCGCAGACATACAACTGTTTGGGATTTGTGAAGTATCTTCTAGGGTCTCCTTATGACGCACTCACCTTACTGCAGAAGAGTGTAGAGCTCACCAGGGAGTGCCGGAAGAATGACTGTGACAAATGGCTGATAGTGCCCTATGGGAATCTGGCCTGGCTTCAGTACAAAATGAAGTGCTTTAGTCAATGTGAGAGTTACCTGGAGAAGCTTAGAAGTATTGCACAGAATTTCCCTGAGTCTGCTTTGGGTCGTCATCATGAAGTGCTTGGAGAAAAGGCCTGGGCCTTCTGGGGAACCTCAGGTCACAGACTTCCAGGGACATCTCACGTTCTCTGAATCTTACCCCAGTCAAGCTTGCTCAGTCCATGGAGTACGATGAAGGGGAGAGATTAATGGAAGAAGCTCTGGAGTGATCTCCAAATGCTCCTAATGTCATTCGATATGTGGGTAAATTTTTTGAGGGCCTATGCCTATGTAGAGAGGTCCAAGAGGTAAAAAGAGCTTTAGAGAAGTCACCCGCATCTGCTTTCATACACCATCAGCTGGCTCTCTGCTACAAGAGAAAAACAACTTCTTTGCAACATGAAGGAAGTCACAACTCTCGTAGTGCTGATGCTGAGATTCAGAGGCTTCGCAGTCAGTGCATTTATCATTTAGACAAGGCGACAGAACTGAAACCTGGCTTTATTATAGCTATGACTGAGCTGGCAATTCAGTACAGTGAGGATGGGAAACTTGATCGTCAGAAGAGATGTTTCAGCAAACGCCAGGTAGCTGAAGAGAAAAATGAAGACCTAGAACAAGTGCATCTCAGTTATGCACAGTTCCTGCAGTACAGAAGGAGAGACCTACCCCAAGCCATCACTTATTATATGGAATGTCTGAAGATAGATGAAGACACAATAAATGGGCAGAAAAGTGCTAAACATCTGAACAAGATTAATGATAGACGTTCATCTAAAAGCCCTGGGAGTGGAAGAGCCTAGAGGACCTTTGTAAGGAAAGAGGAGAGAAATGCACGGCCGTAGAGAGCTGAGAAAATTCTACAAAATATTCACAAACATTTTTGAATATCTTAATATTCTGTGTATGCTGAGGCTGTCTTTATAACAGTGTAATTTCTGAGTTCAACAACAACAACAAAAAGCAACGCACTAATTGTTCTTGTTTAACAGACACAGTCAGATGGGCAGTATTAAACATGTACACTTTATTACTTTAACAGAAATAAATGTTCATTCAAGATAACAGCATTGGATCAGTACAGAAGATTTATTTCACTGGGCTAAGCTTTGATTAATCATAATTTAGTTTGAAACAGGTTTATTGTAAAATACATTGTAACTCTTTATTCTTTCATAAAATAAAGATGATATGTAAAACTAGCTCATAAAAAGGTCACTAAAACCTATTTTAATGTCACTGTACTTGATATAAACATTGTGTGACAACATGGCAGCTTCCAATAATCATCCAAGATTGGAGTGAGTTAAATCAGCACTGCCCTCTTGTGGCACTCATTTTTTCTTTCAAGCTGAATCATGTTAACAAATCCTGGTCTTGCATACTTCATGAAGTAGAATCATGAAGTCTTGCACAATTCTGTTCATAAGAAAATATACTTTTTTTTTTTTTTTTTTTTTACTACAGTACAGTAATACTAGTGTAAAATGGAACACACTCTCAAGTTATATGACACTTTTGAACAAACACTTTATATTAAAAAACAAAAAACTATGCAATATGCACCAACTCTAACTCACCTTTACTGTTTCCAACTTTTTATTCACAAGCTAAGAATGAAATGCTTTTCAACAGAAAGTTTGCCAGATAGTAAAGGCACATTAATGGGATTGGAGACTGTGAAAATGTGCTGGTAATGCTACAAGTGTTTTTTTTTTCCCTCCTGACCAACTACTTAACATGCTCCTTGTACAAAACAAAAGCTAACAGATCTATCTATATATATATATATATATATATATATATATATATATATATATATATAATATATAGATCATTTACAGTAAATAATGATAATGAGTCTTTATTGATCACATATACACAATGAAATTCTTTTCTTCACATACCCCAGCATGTTAGGAGGTTGGGGTCAGGGCACAGGGTCAGCCATGATGCAGCACCCCTGGAGCAGAGAGGGTTGAGGGCTTTGCTCAAGGGCCCATCAGCGGCACCTTGGCAGTGCTGGGGCTTGAACCCCAAATCTTCTGATCAATAATCGAGAGCCTTAACCACCAAGCCACCACTGCCCCCCTAAATGATAGGTCCAACACTATAAGATTTTTGTAGTATAAAACTCCACCTGATCGGTTTCACATGCTTCTGGTGTGGACATTTTGCTTAGTGAGTTCCTCTAAATTCTCTGGCATTGGCAGACCACGGTGAGGATGCACAGCAGGAGAGCACTGGAGATGAGCGCAAAACCACTGAGAAAGAATGTCGCTGCATAGGTGCCAACCAGCCTGAGCACAATAAGAATCAATCATCAACCATATTATAGTACAAATTCAGCCCAAACTCTTAATTCAGTAACAATTATTCAACTTCAACCAGCTGTTTCTTCATCATCTGCTCCTGTGTTGTTTGTGTCTACACTGGGGCACTTATTTTCCAGTAAAACTGTACCAATGGGACAAATTCAGCTAGTGGTTTAAGATAGAAAGTATATGTAATGTGCAAAAGTAAATGCCTGGTGATTTTCACTTCCAATAGCAGGTATGGAATAGCATGCTGGACCTTAAAAAAGCGTCCGACTGGGATTTCTAATATTGAGAAAATGTCCAGGATATGGATTTAGTTTCATTATGATGTGCTTATTGTCTAATAATGCATCGTGTGTGCACATGTTTGCATTGCTTTAACCACTGTCTGCAATTCCCACCTTCTCACACAACTGATAGATTGCAGTAACTATTGGCCAAATTCCTGCCTGTCAACCATTAGCTTGCTCTCAGCGAACGTGTAAAGTGTTGTTGTGTACAGCATCAAACAGTAGCTTAACAGCAAATGACATCTATCCTGAATCGAAACAATGCCCATAGCCATATAAGTTCATTTTTAATTATCACATTGCTTCATATTGAAATGGTGATTCATGTGTAATGGTGTAGACGGGAAGGTACACTCGCGCATGTAATATTTTATTTTATTCAATGGACATTCAAAAGAATGTAGGAAAAAATTATATTTGGGCAGAGTGAAACCTATTTTATTTATATATATTTATGTGATGCTAATAGTGTGTCATCGGGCACAAGGCGGGGTACACCCTGGACAGGGTGCCAGTCCATCGCAGGGCACAATCACATACACACTCACACACCCATTCACTTTAGACACACCAATCAGCCTACCATGTATGTCTTTGGACTGGGGAGGAGGAAACCGGATGTACCGGAGGAAACCCCGCGCAGCACGTGGTAGAACATGCAAACTCCACACACCATTAACTTGAAATTGAGTGCATAGGGGTTACGTATTGTGTAGGACAGCCCAGAAGTTAACATCACCCTGGTTCCCGCACAAAAAGCCAGTAGGATTTGTCTATTGGTTTTAGATTATTGCAGAAAATAAGCTCTGTGGTCAACAAAATTCTTATTTTTACATGTTTTGTTCAAGATAAACTTCACAAAGATTATCTTAGCAATATTTCTGAGATGAAAGAAGGCTATCGTAGTAATATTATCTACATGAGCATCAAATGAAAGACTGGGGTCAATAATCACACCATGGTCTTTTACTGCTGCACATGAGGAAATGGAAAGTCCATCTAGAGTTACTATGTGATCAGAAAGCCTACTTCTAGCTACATGTGGTCAAAGTACAAGTATTTCTGTCTTGTCAGAATTAAATAAGAGGAAGTTAATAAGCATCAATGTATATATGCGAAATGCGAAATAATGCAAAAATAATATAGGTATATAATAGGTAAATAATTTGACCTTAAGGACCGCATACTCATGCCAGGCACCTACTGACATACGCAATGCACTTTTCCACCTTGATGAGTTGGCTTCAGACTCAGAGCTAGCTTCAATATTTGATAATCTCTAACATCATATGTTTGCAGGTGACACTTTTTTATATTGTGTTTTCTAGTGCAATTAAATTCATACATTCATACAGTAGTTACTCACCTTGGCAATGATTTTACAAACAAGATTTGCATGTAAATTTGTGTGCACCTTGGTAGTAGGGGCATTTTGGTTGCCTTCCTTCTGTACAAGTGTAAAATAGTAGTCATCTTACAATTTGAGTGAAATATACTTCCAAAATTATTTGACATTTTTATTCTTACTAATGTGCATTTTTATGACATAGTACTCATTGATTAAGCTAGATTTAAGATTGTATACTGTATTAATAGTGGTATTTCCCATTAAATTAACAATCACTAAATATTAAAACACAGTTCTTTGTCCTGTGCCATACTAAGCTAAGTGTTTTTTCATAATTCTCTAGAGTGAGACTGCATCAGATTTCTCTGGATTGGACGAATTAGATGATACGATCCACTTCACAAAATTGGCACAGACACAGGGATGGACACAGTTCTCAAACCAACAGGCTCAATGACAAAGGCAGAGGCTCTGCTGTTGATAATGAGCGATGCTGCTGTATAATATTACTGGCTGTCAACTGGATGACTTGCTGAAGCTTATTAATTTCCTTTTCGATAATAAAGATACCCCAAGGTTACAAACATATGTTCAATAAGGTATTTCAAAACAGCTCAGAAATAGCAGAGTTTCATCTTTACTGTAAAAGCTGCAAATATCACATTGGAACACATAAAAATAGTTACTGGCCAGAACATTACACAGTGTCCATCCTGTAATGAACCAATTGTAATCAGTTCTTTAAATAATGGTAGTTTTTCATCAATTTGTCAAATAATTGCACCAATTAATTGCACCACAAATTCAGAACATTCTGGAAAATCCAGAAATTCAAGAGCACCTCAGCTATCGATTTTACAGGCCACACAGTGACAACAATATTATTTCAGACATCTATGATGGAATTATGTATGAAAGATTGTCACAACCTGGTGGAATTCTTTCAAACAATTTTTATTCTGATGGGTCCCCTGTATACAAATCTTCAAAATTTCCTAGATGGCCTATACAGCTACCCTTGAATGAACTGCCATAATTCGATTTAGGCATGTAATCCTTACTTGTCTCTGGTTTGGAAAACAAGAACCAGCTATGCAAGTCTACCTGAAACCATTTATAGAACAAGCAACGTCATTCATTTCTAAAGGTGTGTTGTGGAGAAAAAATGTTGCTTAACTAAATACCAAAAATGTTGGCATCTGTTGCGGTGTAGACTCCAAAGCAAAACCTGCAATACAGAACACCACTCAGTTTAATGGGTATTATGGATGTGGTTCCTGTCTTCATCCCAGAGTTTTAGTTGAAAGACAGATTAACTACACTATGTTAGTTTCAGGACATGATAACAGAGACTGAAAGTCTATAATAAAGAGACATGGAGGCAGCCTTAGTTGATGGTAGGCCTGTCAGTGGAGTTAAAGTTCCATCACAACATATGAACATGCCATACTTTGATATTGTATATGAACATGATTCTATGTTAATGATTATATGCATGCTGTCCTTCTTGGTGTAACCAGACAGATCACAGAGCTTTTACTTCAGTGTAGTGACCAGCCCTATTACATTGGAAGACCAGACACATTATAATAATAGAAATCACAATAGAAAATCACATCTGAAAAATCCAGCCTCCACATCTCATTACCCGCTTACCTAGGCCACTTGACAAGTTCACCTATTGGAAGGCATCAGAATGGAGAGCTTCATTGTTTCTTTGTTGTTTACTACATCTTGAGGGTGTGCTTGAGTTTTGGTATTTGAAACATCTCAGTCAACTGGTCTCAGCTGTCTTCGATCCTTTTACAGGAATCTATCACCCGTGAGAGGGTCAACAAAGCAGATGTCATGCTTCTTGAATTTGTCATAAAATTTCAGTTAATTTATGGAGAGACAGTCATGACTTTCAATGTGCATCTTCTCACTCACTTTGCAAAGTCAGTTAAACTTTGGGGTCCACTGTGTGCACACTCTGCTTTTTGTTTTTGAAGTGCAAATGGTGGGTGTGGGGGTGTTAGTGAGTGTCTGGTATATGAGTGGGTGTGGTGGTGTTAGTGAACATCTGGTGTAAGAGTGGGTGTAAGGGGTGTTAGTGAGCGTCTGGGTATATGAGTTTGTGTGGCGGTATTAGTTAGTGTCTGGGTGTGTACTGGATGTGGGGGTGTTAGTGAGTATCTTGTGTATGAGTGGATGTCGGGGGGGTTAGTGAATGTCTGGTATATGAGTGGGTGTATGAGGGGTGTTAGTGAGTATCTTGTATATGAGTGGATCTGGGGGTGTTAGTGAGTGTCTAGTATATGAGTGGGTTTGTGGGGGTGTTAGTGAGTATCTGGTGTATGAGTGGATGTGGGGTGTAAAAAAAATAGTGAGTGTTTGAGAAAAAGTGTGGTGGCATCAGTCGGTTTGTGGGGTATGGGTAGGTGTATGGTTGTGGGAGATGTTTAGTGAGTGTATGTCTGTGAGGAGGGGGAGAGAAGGTAGAGGCGTGTCACACAGTACAGATCTTGTGGTGTAGTGTAAGCTGCTCTTCATTTTTCTTTCCCTGACATTCAGTTCAGTTTGCATCTCCCTGTGCTGCAGGGGTTTCCTCAAGGTACCGTCCCCCAGTAACTCCACCAGTCCAAAGACATGCATGGTAGACTGATTGGCATGTCTAAAGTGTCCGTAGTGTCTGAATGAGTGTGTAATGTGTATGTGATTGTGCCTCTGGCGGATTGGCATCCTGCTATGGATGGACATTCAATCTGTTCTCGCTTCTCAATGCCCACAACACCCCACACGCCACTCCAATAGCACACACACACACACAACTTACTTTCAGATCTCTGCTACTGTAATTAACCATGTTTTTTTCCCACTGAAACCTCCCAATTCAAACTTGCCAGGGGTGGACAAGGCATCCGGGGTTACCACTGTCTTGTCATAATTAATGTAACATTGCCAGAGCAGACAAAAGATGTTGAGGAAAAATAAATGTGACATTTCAATTTGAATAACAAGAATTTTTTTTTTTACTTATTTTACATTTAACACAACAAAATTGATATTATAGCTTTGGTGCTTGTGTTTATAGTTTTAACGGAATGTGTTTGGGTATATCTAAGGTACATACATAAACCCAGTAGTAGTAAG